AAAGAATGAAATTATTTATATGAAAATAATTGAATTCTTTTGAAGAGTTATATTAAAATTTTGTTGAAATAACAATAATAATTAATTACGTATTTAATTAGTGAATTTTTTAAATTTCGATTGTGAAATCATTCAAAAATTTATATTTAAAAATAAAATAAATGAATTGAATAAATGAATTGAATTAGTCAATTTTACTAATAAATAGCAATTTCTACTAATTTATTAGTCAAATTAACTCAATCAAAAGCAAAAAATCAGTCACTAATTGAAATTAGTAAACATTTTTACCTATTCAAATTAGTAAACATTTTTACTTATTCAAATTTAGAGTGTGTAACATTTGATGGTAAGAATAATAATAATAAAAAAAATGTTGAAAGAATAAAGAGACATTTTCTGGTATTAGGATCTAAAAGGAAGTCATCTAAATATTTTAAGGAGATAATTCACACCTACCATGAATGCATTTCGCTCTTTCTTATGTCGTGTCTTCTGTAATATCTATACAAGTAGTAGAATGAAGAAAACGACATTCGCGAGCCGCGAGAATATGGACAGGGGCGTTCCGCCATGCAAACTTGGAATATAGCTAATGTGTCTCCTGCTTGGTCGTTTGGCTTCTCTCCGAAATCCCCTTTTCTCAGTTTTACCGAATGTGTGTTTGTGTGTGTGTGTCTCCGCTTTTGCAAAATGGAAAAGAAAAGGAGGAAATAGATTAAAACCCAACCCTCATCCATTCGGTAGTGTGCTAAAGCATATAAAGAGCATCTGCTTGCAAAACTCTCTCGTGGATACGCTATCTGACGAAGAGGACACATGAGAGACGCCGACGTTGTGTCGACGCGAAATGTACACTTGGGGTCGCGAAGCTATTTGTACCCTCTGCAACTGAAAGAGAGGAACTTGTGTGATACATGTATACAAGAGGTGAAGGAAGAAAATAGAAAAAAAAGAAAAGATGAATACTCAAATCTGGAGGAAACCTCAAGACTTTCGTAATTATACTCACCACGCTCTCTTCTCTGTGCGTATACTTCCTTTTCTTTAATGAGTAATTAGTCTCATACACAACAAATCTGTTTTGTCATTTATTTTTTATACATCGTTCAATTAATTTCAATTTACTGAGGCGTAATTTAAAAAAAAAGACCGTATACTCTAAATCAATCTCTATTTCCAAAAACAATTTCTAAAAAAAAATAATAATCAAAAGAAAACAAAAATAATAAAAAATAGATTTTTAATGGAACATAACCTCAATATTTCGCAAAAGAATATAAAGCAGATAGAAAAAAAGAAATTTACCAAAATTAAATAATAATAGGTAATAATAAAAATAAAAAATAATAATTTACAAATTTATAATGAAACATAACCTCAAAGTTTCGCAAACGAAAAGAAAGTAGACGGAACGAAAGAAATTTACAAAAATTCACATCAAATATTGACAGATTTGTATAAATGTTATTAATTACCTTCATTTTTCTCGTAAATACGGAAAGATTTACAGCCACTGGATATTATATTTATAAGAATATTCTAAATAAGAAAACTTTTCTTCATCCGCGTCCTTTGTTTACTATAATCAAAAACGCGGTAAATTACACTAGAGTAAAGATTCCAAGGTCAATAGATAAACGGTTATTTGAAAAATTTCGAGAGTAACTCTCATTGGCTGGACAAATTTGCCATTAAAACTGCCAGCCAATCAGAAAACGTTACTCCTTTCCCTTCTTTTTGGACTACTTCCGGTTTGCTCCTTGGCGCCAAATTGTTCCCTCCTTCACTTCCTGTTGTAAACAATAATGGATGATTGTTTAAGTCTTAATTTGTTAAAAGTTAAATTGTTTTGAAATGTTTTTAAGAGTTGCAGACGTATACTTAGAAAGAGAAATAAGTTATTAAATACGTGATTGAACGAATGTAGATATTTTATTAAGTTCCTGTTTGAAGATATTGTTAGACCCTGTTACAACCCTGTTATATATATCGTGCAAAAGGTGAGTTTTTTCATTAAATGTTTTTTTATAAACATAACCAACGATATTGCATCAACTTTTGTATATATTTGGTATTTTTGTCATAAATTCTGTTATTGTAACTAATATTTCGTACAATAATTGAAAAATATTTGCTTTTTCTTTGCATATATTCTCAGTATGATTAATATTTTCAATCGTTTCTTGAAAATGCAATCTTGTGTCTGTTTTGCTAAAATTGTTTTTACTTTTTTTGCTCAAAAGTGCTAAAAATGTCTATTTTTCTAGATTTGTGATCGAATTTCTACCAATTTGCTTGATGCTGTGCATAATAATGGAGTTGCGGATTTGCTTATTTGATTGATTGATTGGATTCGAATATACGAAGTTTTTATTATTATTCCGAAGAAGAAAAATGTCAACAAAAAACAAAATTTGAGGTTAGTTTTTAGCATAAATATTTTTGTCTCAACATTTTTTAATATTAATATAATACTGAGAAGTATTCAATTCTTTTTTTATTCAAAATTCAATTCTCCAATTCAATAACATGAAATAGAAAATACTTTCGAATCTAAATTTAAATATTATTATCGAATTGTTGCAAAGAATTTTATCAAAAAATTTGATAATAATAATAGAATTCCTTCGAAGAATTTTATTATTTAGGAAAAAAATTGAATTCTTGCGAAGAATTTTATTAAAATTTTAATTGAATTATCTTTTCAAAGAATTTCTTCGATTTTTTTTTAATAATGGAGTTTTTTTAATAATTTTCATTATAAATTTTGAAAATAATTATATTTTATTAAATTTTTCTTTTAAGTTTTTTAAATAATCGTGTTTCTTAATAACTACAATTAAATATTTAATTATTAAATTTTATTAAAATTATAGAAAATAACTGAATTCTTTTGAAAAATTTTATAACTTAAAAAAATTCAATTCTTTCGTGGAATTTTTTTTAAAAATAATTGCATTTTTGCAAAGAATTTATTAAAATTTTAAAAATTAAATTCTTTCGTGAAATTTTTTTAATATAATTGAATTTTTCCAAAAAAGTTTACTACAACATATAAATGTAATTGAATTATTTTGAAAAATTTATTAAAATTTTAGAAAGTTGAATTTTTTCGAAAAATAGTATTAAAAATTTTTAAAAATTGAATTGTTTCATGAAATTTTAGTAAAATTTTATAAAATAATTGAATTTTTTCGAAAAATATTAAAAATTATTTAAAAATTGCATTCTTTTATGAAATTTTATTAAAATTTTGTTTAAAAATAATTAAATTTTTGCAAAAAATTTACTATTTATAAAAATAATAGAATTCTTACGAAGAATGTTATTATTTATGAAAATAATTGAATTATTGTGAAGGATTTGATTATTTGTGAAAACAATTGAATTCTCGCGAAGAATTTTATTGAAATTTTTAAAAATAATTGAATTCTTACAAAGAATTCTTCTATTTATGAAAATAATAGAATTTCTGTAAAGAATTTTATTAAAATTTTCGAAGTTAATAAACAAGAATAATTAATTAGTAAATTAGTTGATAATTAAAGTTTTTTAAAGTTTGAATCTGAAATTATGAAAGAAAAGTTAAAAAAAAATTCTTTTTTCTTTCACTTTTTTTGAATCAAAAAGATTAAAAATTATTTTAAAAATTCAAAAGTATTGAATATTTCTGTATAGATTAATTCTTCATGATTCGAATTTATTTTCTATTTCTTAGCCTAATTAGCAAAAGAATGTTATTCTCGGAGGGGGAAAATCTCATTAGAATTTCGATATAAATTTCAATGGAGAGAATGTATAAAGAAATGTTGCTAATATTTTGAGAAAATGCAAGAGAGGCGCATCGAGGCGAAGCGATGCGCGATATCAGTTGCAGGGGTCGCCGCCACTACAAGTGTATCCTACTCTTTTCAACGATAACCCCAGATAACCCAATCTCCCTAAATATTTTACTTAGTACGTTTTTATTAACACTTGACATCTTTTTAGACACTCCCTGTTTCATACTCCGTATAATTTATTCCCCAGTGAAATCTAACATTTCAACATATATTCTTTTTTTACCTTCTTCGAATTTTATCGAAAAAAAACGAAAGAACCGAAAAAATTTTATTATTTTTTTAAATTTACCAATTATTGAAGCAAAAGGAAATTTTTTTTAATTAGTAGAAGAAAATACATTTTGAATTAATAAAAAAAAATACATTTTTAAATTAATCCAAAAATTACTTTTTGAATTAATACAAAAAATACTCTTTAAATTAATTCAAAAATTACTTTTTAAATTAATGCAAAAATTACTTTTTAAATTAATGCAAAAATTACTTTTTGAATTAATAAAAAAGTACATTTTGAATTAATACAAATATACTTTTTGAATTAATACAAAAAATATTTTTTTTTTTCTTAATTGAAATTTTTAATTGAACTAAATTGTAAATTATAAAATTTTCCCTTTTTTTACTAATTAAAAATTGAAAAAGTTTACAAACATAATTAATTCTCAATTATATTGTTGCCTACGAAGAAATAATTTAAGACTATTTATAATACGAATTTACGATCGTTACTTTTGAAGGAAAAAAAAAAAATTTCAAACTTTTATTTGCTTCGTACAGAAGCTGTCGACCGATTTAATTAAAGATTCGTTGAATGGCGCCACTTCATTGGAGTCGGAGAGAATGTGTTGTACTTTTATTACTCCGCATGACTCCTCCCAGAAGTTTGTATATTACAAAATCGTCTAAAAATTCTTGAAAATAAAATTATTTTTAGCTAAAATTTGTTAATAATAACAATAAACATTTTTCGGTAATATAATAATTATTTATTTTTTTCGATTATAATTATTATCATTTTTAAAAGAAGAATAAAATCGTTAACTCGAACAATTAATTTATTATTACGGAAGTTTGAAATTAGTGTATAATAAAAATTATTTATAAAAAAAAGCGTCTTCGACAACTCTTTCGTCATAGTAACTAAAAAAACGAATGTAAATGAGTATTATAATTTTAATTCTTTTTTGTAATGAGTCCAATTTTTGTTTTTAAATTAATCCTGCTAAAAAGAAAAAATCTCCCTATTTTGCCATTGTAATTAAATTCAATAGTACTTTTATGTACTACAACGTATTTCTATCTTTAACAGGCAGAAAATATTCCACAATTATTAGCTTTATGCTCCAATATATCCCTCTCGCAGGTACATAAATAATTCTTTTTTTTTACATTCGATACTTTTTCTAACATTACGAGAAAATCAAATAGAGTTGAAATAATTAGAATAATTTCTCTTTCCACAATAGTTTGCATATTATTCTAAAGAATTCAACATTAATAATTGTTTAAGAACTTTGGTTTGACTGGTTTCCCTAATTTCTCCAGCTAAGAACATTTCATCCACTACGGTATAAACCTGGAATGGAAAAGAATTTTCAAATTATCCACTGAATTTATATTGAATTTCAAAATATAATTTTTATAATTAAAATAATAATTAATAATAAAAGAAAAAAATAATAATAAGAAAAATGACAATAGGAAAACAAAATAAGAAAAAAAATAATAGTAATAATTTAACATTGAAGATATTAATGAAATATTAATTAAATAATTGTCTCATTAGAAAAATACCTTGTAAAAGTTAAAAACTAAGTCCAATTCACAAACGTTGTGGAAATACTCGTTCAGGACTTCAACAAAATTGTGAATTGCCTCTAGGTAACACAAATTATTGTCGTTAACATCAACGCATATACAAAAGTATAAGCCAGCATATCGTCTGTATACGATTTTAAAATTACGGAACTGAAAGAAAAATAGTTAATTTTTTCTAAAATGTATAAATTTTGAATCGAATTTTACGAACATTAGCGAGATAAATAAATTTACAAAAATAGAGAAACTAACCTCAACGAAATTGGTATGTTTTGCATCTCTGACAGTTACAACTGCATGAACTTCTTCTATTAATTTTTGCTTTTCATCATCGTCGAAATTCATATACCATTTTGCTAATCTGGTCTTTCCAGCCCTATTTTGAATAAGGATGAAACGAATCTGAAAATAATAATTTTCAATTTATTTTTCCAACTAGAAAATAATTATAGAATAGAGAGAATTATAATATGTCTTTTTTTTATTACAAATTTTTTTTCATTTAGAAAAAATACGATTTTTAATAAAAATATTAAATATAATGAATAGAATAAAAATTATAAAAATTTATTCAAGAACAAATTAAATAATTAGTATATGTGGTATATGTACAAAAAAAAGACTTAACCTCTTCTACAATTTTCGTAATTTTTCGAGTATTAACAATGCGAACTCTAGCTTTTCAGTAAACAATTTACAATACCTAGTTAAGAAATAATTACTCAATTGTTGGGAAAATAAATGAAGATCAAAAATGCATCTTGTTGAAAATCGGTGTTAATTGAGTAATTGATATTAATGTTAATTACTAGTTAAATATTTACAAGTTTTATTGTAGAAAAATATACGTACCATTATTTACTATGTGCTTGAACTGATAAACTCTCTATAAATTATTACTATTATTTTTATTTTGGAAAAATATCGAGCAGAAACGAAATGTCAAAAATCCACCCACCCACCATAAAGTGAAGTATGCAGTTTGTCAATTGTCAACTTGTCAATTTATCGATTATCGATGCTTGACTCGCTTGTCTATCGAAAAGGTTGCGCGCGCTTTGTTTCTAACTTCAGACAGGAAAGCAGTTCGTATTTTTATTTTTCCCCACTTCATTTCTCTGTATTATTATTACAGACTTTAGGCATTTTTACTTATTTTCTGAAGATTGGTTATTATTTCTAATCAATATTCTCTTTATTCGATTAAAAAATATTGTAAAAAAGATTTAAAACAAATTGTTCGGGTGTACAATTTAAATTTTACCGCGACAGTATGTCCAGTGTAGTCTAGGACAATTCACGCATCCAATAGGATTCCGTAAAATTATTTTTTTACGCAATTTTTTCATATTTTCTTAATTGTTTTTAACTGGAAGTGAAAAATGTTTATAAAATCAAGAGAAAATTGTATTTTTTATGGAGTTTTTACTATTAAAGACTATAATTCGATTATAGTGAAGACTATAGTGCGAGTGGAAACAGTGGAAAATAAACAGTTGGCAGCATTGTTCTCAGTCGACATCATGTTTCCGCTTTTCGTTGTCGCTCTTTCACAAGTCGAAAATGGCGGATCAGGTATGTTGCTTATAATAATCATTAAAAAATCAGTTATTATTTACAATCTCTATAAAAAATTTGCATCTTTTTCGTTAAACTAGTAATGCCTGATGTTAATTTACTTCAAGTAGTTTTATAAACGACAATATTTTTCCCCAAAGTATGTCATATTGGTGATCTGCTTATTGACGCTATTACTCTAACACGTGTTTCACTTTCTTTTGTAACAAAAATCTATCAAAGTATGACAAATATTTTCTAAAAATGCAGTTGATTTTGGTTTTAGTGAAAATAAATGTCACATGTCAATGTGGAAATGGTTTAAACTTTACAGAAAACTTGTAAACTTGACGTCTGTCAACCTAACCTCAAAATCCACTTTGATTCATAATATTATTTTCCAATTAACAATTTTTAGATTATTTTATAATTCTTTCTCATAAAAAGAGGAAAAATATTGTTTATTTCTTTTAATGAAATTAAAATTACGAAATAAAATATACTTTTTTGCATTGTTTAAACGAATTCGTTGTTTAAATGTTTATTGTTTTGTTCGGAGTTTATAATGGTTTTTTTTTATTAATTGCAGAACGTAAAGTCGTTCCAAAAGCAACCAACTGTTTTCCTGAACCGCAAAAAGGGTCAGGGACAAAAAAGTCGCAAATCCTTGCGATACACAAGAAATGTTGGTCTTGGATTCAAAACTCCACGTGATGTGAGTATTTATTTATTTTAATTATGAATATTATGTTTGAAATTGTGTATATTTTAGTAAATAATGAAGAATTTGAATGAAAATTAATTAAAGAAATATTTTATTTTAAAAATTTTAAAAAAATGTTCTTTTTAAATGTTTTTTTTCTTTAGGCGATTGATGGAACCTACATTGACAAGAAGTGTCCATTTACCGGAAATGTGGCGATCCGAGGACGCATTCTCACTGGCGTTGTTCAAAAGATGAAAATGCAGAGAACAATTGTCATCAGACGGGATTACTTACACTACGTAAGAAAATATAATCGTTTTGAGAAGCGTCACAGAAATATGAGTGTCCATCTAAGTCCCTGTTTTAGGTTCGTACTAAAAATTATTATCCTTTTATTTTCATTTATTTTGCATATTTTTCCAAACAAGAATTATCGAATTTTATGGGAAACCTTTTAACTATTAAAAATGTTTTTCAAAACAATTTTTCTCATTTTGAAAGAAAAATTGACATTTCAAAGAAGATTTATTTATGTTTCAAAGAAGATTTATTTGTATTTCGAACAAGATTTATTTATATTTCTAACAAGATTTATTTATATTTCAAAGAAGATTTTTTTCATATTTTGAAAGAATTTTTTCCCTTTCTTTGAATGTATAAATGTTTTTAAAAACAAAAAATACTTTCGTGATGATATTGACGACGGTCTTCTGAAAATAATATGAAGTCACTTAATCGTCTACTGATAGAAATGTTAAGTATTTTAATTTTTTTGCTTCCTCTTTCTACAATTGAAAGATTATTTTTTCAACAATTTTATGTTTTAAATCAATTTTTTAATAAAAGATGATAATTTTTCAGAGACGTTGAAATTGGAGACATCGTGACTATTGGAGAATGCAGACCATTGAGTAAAACAGTCAGATTCAACGTTCTTAAGGTCTCAAAGGGAACAGGATCGAAGAAGAGCTTCAAGAAATTCTAGGTATGGAGAATTTTCTTTAAAATTAAATGACAATTTTTAAAAATAACAATAGACGAGGAAAAAAGAATATTTATGATGAGTTTGACGACGGTCTTCTGAATAAAAATAATTTGAAGTCATCATTATCGTCCACTGAAATTCTTTTTTCGATTAAATCTATTTTCTGTAAATTTTATTTTAGTTCTTTATTCATTAAAATTATTGTTTATTTTTTTTGCAGATAAAGAAAAGGTGAGAAAAACATCTTGAGAATTTATAGGTAAGAATTATTTTTTTCTACTTTACAATTAAGAAATTTGTTTCTTAAAATTTCGATCGTTCAAATGAACGGCGATATTTTTTTTCCTTACCACTTTTAAATTTCATTACAAAATATTGTTTTTTATAATTAAAAAATTAAATAAATAATTACAAAATTTTTCACTTCAGTCTATAATTTTTAAAAATATTGCAAAATTTCGTTTATTTGAACGTTCGAAATTTTAGGAACAGAGTTTTCAATTTTTTATTGAATTTTATTACATACACAAATTTGGAGTTTAATATACAAAAACATTTCGCTTTGTTGGTTTTTTTCGTAAAATTATTTCTTCTTAAAGATGAAAATGGAGCAGTTGCTGTTAATTAAAATTCCAATTTGTTTTCATGATGAGATTGACGACGGTCTTCTGACGATTAAAATTGAAAGACAACTTCGTCCTCTGATTTAATTCAAACTTTTAAAAATTATTACATACATTAAATTACGTATCATTTTAATTCGCTTTTTAACAAAAATTCTATTTTCTGTTTCAGGTATAAAATATCAGATCCTGGAAGGTGGACGTTCATCGAGAAAATCGACGAAATTAAATTAAGTCAATGATTTACCATCATCATTATGTAAATGTTTAACGCATAAAAAACATCAATTGCGTTTGAAAAATAAATTCATTTAAATAAAATCTAAGTTTGTTTTGATAATTCATACTTTGATATTGTTACCCTTCTTTTTAAAAAAAAACCGGATATTTTTTTTATTTAGTTATTTATTTATTAAACATTAAAAAACTACTTTATTATGAAAATATAAAAACGAATTATAAAATTTTTAATCAAATTTACTTTTTCGTAAATAAAGTTTACAATTTGTCATTGACTGAAAAAAGAATAATTTTTCTAATTAATAAATTTTTTCATTTTCTCGTACTTAGAGTTTGTCTTATTTTTTTCACGATCTTGATGCTTATTGTACTTTTTTGTCTTTTGATTCTTGATTTTAACATTGATATCTCTTTTATTTCGTTTCAATATTTTTTGAGATAATGAATGTTTATCGTAGGGACTGTATTTGCGATAGAGCCTGGGTCTGAAATTTTATAATTAAAAAAAATTAAATAGTGAATATATTTTATTATTATTAGTTTTATAATTAATTAATATTTAATAACTAATTATTAATATCTTTATATAATTACTAATTAGTTTAGTACTTAGTATGGAATTCTTTATTTTAAATTTGTTTTTTTTTCGTTTTTCAGATAAAAATTGAAATTTTCTTTAAATTTATAACTTTTTATATTTTTTTCAAATACTTACGAATTTTCGATGAATTCGTTTTTATGGAAATTCAAAATTTTTGTTCCAGATGACGAGTGTCCCGACAAGGAATTATCTTCCAGTGGTAAATCTTCCCAATAATCCGGATCTACTCGTTTATGAATTGAGTGCGTGTACTTTTTTGGATACCAATTCTTCCCATAACTTTTCCCATCGGCCTTTAAGGTAAAATAACTCAGGTATTTAAATATATATTTTAGAAATCAAAGAAAAAAAATGGAAATAGTTACAAAATTTCATAACGATTTCCATTTATTTTTCGAAAATTTTCAATTAGGAATTGAAAAAAAATTCGAGTAGAAAACAAAATTTTATTTCATAAGGAAATTTTTTTTCTCACTTGAAGTTTCTTGAGTGAGTTTTTTTTTGTGAAATAATAAATGAATTAAAATTTTAATTCAAAAAGGTTGTGCACTTACAAATACGAAAATAGCCGAGCACAGCAAAACTATTTTGACAGAGAACATTTCTTGAAGTGAACTCTGAATGTCGCACAAGTGTTCTGAGTTCTCTCTTTTTTTTCTCTTTTGCTTTATAGTCGTTTGTTCTTAAATTACAATCCGGTGACTAACTCGTTTCAAATAGAGAAATTATTTATCAAATCTTAACTTTTTTTTCATTTTGTTGTTCATTTCTTTGAAAAATAAAAAACATAATCGAGAAAGTTTGAAAATAATTGAAAGTCAATACGTTTTATCGTTTGACTCATTGTCTCGAACAAAATGCGAACGCAAAAGAATAAAATAATTATTAAAAATTATTACTATCAATAATTAATATTTAAAGAATAATTAAATCTATTTTTTGAAAAAAAGAATAAGAAAATTGAATAATAAATAAATAAATAAATTTTTGAAAATATATTTTTTATTTTCACTATCAATCATTTTTTCAATTAAATTACAAACAGTTCTTTTTAACTCTTAACAATTGTTTTAAAAGTATAAATTAGAAAAATGTTACAAATTTTAATAACAAATTAAATTAGCCATTTATTATTAACATAGTTAGAAATTAACTATTATTTGAGATTCGTGAAGAAAAATATTAAGTTCTATTTTTTATTTGAAAATTAGAAGAAGTTTAAAAGCCAGTGCAACTAGCTGCCATTTTTTAAGTCTATAATTCCTTTCTTTTTAACAATTTGGCACTTATAATTTACGCTATTTTTTATTATATAAACATTTCTTAATCTCTATTAAAAAAATTATCTATATAAAATAGTTAAAATTTTCTTTAAATCGTAAGTGGAAGCACTACGTTTTTTTAAAGGCATTTCGTTGTTTTAGAACAAAATAAGTAAGCGTTTTATCAATTACTACATTTAATACAAATAAAATTAACGAAATATTAATTAGTAAATATAGGAAACATTGAAAAATTAATATTTCTAATTTTCTTAGTCAATAAATTAAATATTCAATTCAAGTTCAATTTAATTAAATATTAAATTCAATTTCAATTTAATTAAATTTTCAAATTAAATTATTTGATTTAATTTACTTTAGTTTAGTAACATTTCAATTCATTAAATTTTGCGTTCAGAAAAAATTTTTCTGACAAATTTTTTAAACACTTTAAGGCACGAAATTCTAAAATTTCTTTTTGGCAATAAATTGAGCTTAGATTACTTATTTTCTTCTCTAAGGTACAGTGTAATTTCTGTCGTGAATCCTTCATCTTTTTACTCTTAAAAATTGCGATCACAAGTCAAGCAGTAAAAAACGTAAAAAATAAATGTTAAATTTTCAAAAATAGAAAATAGTTCATAGGAAATTCCAAAAAGAATAAAAAGATTTCTTTTTGGTGAATTTCAGTTTAACAGAATAATTAATTAAGAGAAAATTGTCATGTGAAAATTTCCATGAAAACGTTTTGAAGAAAGTAAAAACCAAATGCAAATCGAGACTAAATTGTTATAGAGATTAATTATCGTTAAGACTTATTGGTTTTTGGCGGATTTTCTATAGAATGTTGTTTCATAACGTAAAAAATATAAATTGGAACTCCAATCCAAATAAGGAGGGAAATTCCAATAACGTGAAACCATCTGAAACCCCAATCGGCGCCAGAACACTTGAAAGTTCTATTAACCCTGTGTTCTTGACTAATTTTTCGTTCCGAGGGACTCAATAGAGTTGAATTGATATTTTCTTCTTCATTTATATCCGTTTGACTAATTGGCTCGATTACTGAATTTAATATAATATTATTGATTTCGGAATTTGAAACAACTTTCAATGGAGTTGTTATTAAATTCAAAATTTGCTCCTCTTTTGATGTTGACGATTTTTCTGGTTCCTTGATTTCTTCATTATTTAAATTTTCTGTTAATAGAGAAAAGGGTTGAACTGGCACTTTTATCACTTGACGAGCGAATATTTCATTTTCCTTGTGAATATTGTTCACTCTTTTTATCTCCGATATCTGGAAATTAATATCGTACAAATTTCGTAATAAGTTTGTATTCAGTTTTTTAAATTTTCTTTTTAGTGAATTATTACATAATTAAATAAAATTATTCGAAAAAAGGAAAATATATCAATAAAATACTTACAGTACATCCATATCTTAAAGCAAGTGCCTGTAAAGTGTCCTCAGATTGCACCTCAATTTTTATGACTTCCACTTTTCGAGGTGCATGTGCGTGATTTCGATTTTGTAATGGAATATTTTCCTCATCTTCACTGTATTCATCATCGGAATATAAAAATACATAATGTGGAGAGGCATCTCTTTGGTTTCCTCTTTGATACACTGACGTTCTATAGATTCATAAAGAAAATTATTATCCAATTACTAAAATTACAATTAAAGTACCTATTCAAATCTCAAAGAAAAAATTCAAAGAAGAAAAAATAGAACAAACATGAAACGTGGAATGATATAAAAAAAAGTATTAAATTAAAAATTCGAGATTAGAATATATTTGACATCTTTAAATTCAACGATAAAAATTAGAAAATGTAAACAATAATAATTTCTATATTTCTTAATTTTAACGTAAAAAATATTGCTTAGAATTAAACATATGGAAGACAATAATTAATTTTTTAAGGCAAGTTTTGTTCTTTGTATTTACACAGTGCTTATCGCTTGTATTAATATAAGAACTTAAAAATATGTTAATTGTTTCTGAAAGGTCAGAACTGTCAAACTATATATAAGTACCCTAACCTAATTTCATAATTACCTTCCTGATTTATGTCGATCATTCAATGATTTCTTAAACATTTTTTGTCTTTTAAAAACATCGCAAAAATATTTAAACTCACGTTATCGAAGTCGTCATTTCACAATACACTCGTTGAATTTAATTATTAAATATACATTTGTATATTTATTAGCCCATATACACCACCACCAGGAGTATTAATTTTTACAATTTTGCCACGCTTGAATCGGCTTGAATTAATGGGAAACAGCTGTGAATTGTCTCGTCTCTCAGGTTAGGTTGGTATTCTGCAATGTGCGCCGCACTTCACACTGTAAAACGAAAACACGACGACGATTATTAAGATCGTTTGTTATTTTCGCAAAAAAAGATTGTTAATTAGTGTTTAATATCAAAATGATGAAATATGAGGGAGATGAGAAATTAAAGGATAATTCCAAATGTTCTTTATTTCGAGCTAGCTTGAAAATGTGTCTACTCAAAAGTGACTGTTGTAAAATTGTAAGTGTGTACATAACCTCAATCTTTACTATATTAGTTTTTAAGTAATAATCGTAAAATTTTTAATCTTTTTATGATTAGTTTATAATTACGTATTGATAAAAGTTAAATATTTCGAGATTATTAATTACTTTAGGTTTATTTTTACTCTAAAGTGTCATTTTAGGGGAAATTCGAAACGAAAATAAGTTCGTTTGCTTTAATGTCTAAAATGTCAAGTATTTTTAAGTTAAAAAAAAGAAAGTTCTCTAAATGAAAAATGTTAATTATTTATTCATATTAACAGGGTTGCCATAGGTCAGGAGAATCAGGGAAAAGTCAGGGAGATTTATTAAAGTACTAGATAAAATTGAATTTTAGAGAAGTTACAAATAATTGCAGAAATTCAATTATTTTCAAAAATAATAAAATTCTTCTTCAAAATTCAATTATGTTCAAAAATTTTTAAAAATTTCAATTAGCTTTAAAAATAATAAAATTCTTCTTCAAAATTCAATTACATTTTTCGAAGAATTTACTCTAATTTTTATTAAAAATAATTGAAACCCTGTGAAGAATTTTATTATTTTGGAGAAGAATTTAATTCTGGCAACGAATTTTTATTACATTTTTTTTTTAAATAATTGGAATCCTGTGAAGAATTTTGTCTGGAAATCAGGTAAAAACAAAATTAATTTTTTGTGGCAACCCTATGAATGCCTATATATTAAAAATGTTAATTATTTATTAATTATTCATATTACCGAAAAGGAAACTTAAAATTTATATTTTTATATAAATTCGAATAGTATTTGAAATCTTTAAAAATCTACATGATTTTTCCTTAAAATTTGTTAGTTTTCAAGTACCGGCAATTTTTTTTCAAGTAAATTAATTTTTACTCTTTTTAAAAAAGTATGAAGATGTGAAATACTTTTTTAGCACAAAATTACACCGAAAGAATGTCTTCGTTCTCATCCTGATCTCGTTCCAAATGAATGTTACGCTCTTCGAAATTCTTTCTTCGAATGCAAACGTAGTCTCGTAAGTTTGAATTCAAAATCGATTTTTCGTTCTCAATTATTTAGAAAATTATAGATATTTCAGTTTTGATAGAAATAATTTTGATAAGGGTGTATTTATTTTTGTAGATCGATAACAGAAGAAGGTTCAGAGGAATAAAGGGACATGAGGAAAAAATATAAATTTATTAAATAGTTTTCAAAGTACTCGTAATTTTTTGGTTAGAAATAAATTAATTTTTAGAAGACGTTATTATCTTAATTCTTATAAGTATATAAAAATGTGATAATAGATTGGAAAGTAAACAACAAATAGGATTGTCAGAAAACTTTTTATTATCGTTTCTCTCTCATCATTCGTTGTACATATAATAAATTCTCGAATCAAGTAAGTTTCTTGTTTTTTTTTACAATCTAATTTTAGTTTCGTTTAGAACTAAGTGTTGAAAAAATTTTCAACAATTACTCGATTTAAATCGAAATCTTTTGTTTTCTTTTCTTTAAATTTTAATCTTTCGATTAAAGAATAAAAGGCGAAGCGATAATTTCAAACGCCTAGTTTATTTTTTCTTAAATGATGCAATCACAGTTTCTGTTTGATAATGGAATTGTAAATGTGAAAGAATTGAATTAATTTTACTAGTAAAATAGAAATAAATTGCCATTGAATTTATGCTTTTGTAGGGAAAAAAAATAGTTTTATAGTTAGGTTTTTTGAATAGATAATGATGAAAATATTTTTTCAGGTTTCGATAGTTTCTTGAGAGCTGCGAAGCTGCTGAGGGGGAGCAATAAATCAAATCGTAACATTCGTTAAATGGATTTAGAAATAAAAATAGATTTGAAGGAAAATTGTTTCTTTTAGAAAATTAGTTTCGAAAGTTTCCTAATATCTATAATCTAATTTTGATTTCGTCTTATTCTTAGGTATATTGAACTACTTTTCGAGAAAATATTTTTTTAAAGATTAAAATTTTTTATTTATTAACATTTTAAGAATATAAATAACAATTTTTTCTTGTACATGATTTGAAAATTTAATTTCAATTGAGAATCATGTGGAGAATGGAAATGTCGATTGTTTCACATTTACAAATCCGAAAATGAATCACAGTTCATTTGCAAGGCTCTTTATCGGTGGAGCACTTGTTCCATGGTCCGTGAAAAATGGGCTCTTGCTAATAGAAATTTATAGGTTGAGAAATCTTTTCTTTTTATAATAAAAATCTATCATTTAGTAACAAACTGCGCCTGCGCAATATTTTCTAACTATTGTCTGTAGGCAATCAAAGCTTATGTACTAATTTCTTTTTTTTGTACTAAAATGCCAAGTAGTCACACTAGCATCACTTTTTTTCTAAATTTATTAAGGTATTTATTTTTTTCTTCTGCAAACTTCTTTTTTTATTTACTAAATTCTTCTTCTTTACTAGAAACGTTTTCTCAAACTCCTAAAAATTGATTAGACTTTTTTGAATAAAATTTTTAATTTTATTTGCGAAAATTTGAATTATTGTATTCACTACTATTTTTTTTCTCTTTTTCGTAGGAAATTAGTTTTGAAAATGAAATTTTTCTATGAGAATTCAAACGTGAGCCTTTTTTAAGCAATTTTTTCTTTTAGATTTTACAAACGAATTTAAGTGATTTAAAATTTCTATTTTTAGATTTATTGAGAGTTGTAAGAGTCTAGAGAAAATATTAGAGTACTAGAGAAATATTTTAAAGTACTTGTGATATATATGGTATCGTCGAATATCACAGTTTTTTCGAAATGTATGATATGTTTTCTTGCAATATTAATATTACGTATGTGTAAAAATTCGTCGTGTATTTTCTTTTTAGGTAAATATATATAGTTTTTTTTGACACTATTGCGATCGATAAAAGCAGGAAATTTCTTTTGTTTTTTTGGATATTTCTCGAGGAGTATAAAATTGTTGTTCGAAAGTAGATTTTTGAGAAATTTCTTTTGAAAATTGAGAATGGTTTGTTTTGTTTTTAAAAACAGACTGATGGTCTGTAAAGGCCGATGTAACCACACAAACGAGCTCGAAGTGCAGGCAATAAAATTGCGGCCGCTGAGAGATTATCTTGTAATTGTGAACACTCGCAGATTAATAAATACATTTTGTCACCCTGAGACATTGATTTGTGAAGTGTGATACGCCTGAGGCCGACTGATTTTGGTAGATATCGGTACATCATCCGAGCACCTGAAAAAAATTTTTTTTTGTAATTTTTGTTTATTTTTTTTTGAATATTTAAGATTTTTTATTTTTTTTAGGAAAAGAGGGGAATTTACCAGTCCAGTAGAGCCAGTTTTGTTCGAATTTAACTCCGTCATCGCCTTCGAATACTTTGAATATGGAAACAATGTAGCCAGTGGACGGTATTGGTGGTCTTCCTCCCGGTGGTTCCAGTGGTGGTCGAGCGATAGTTGCGACTTCATTAAATAAATCCAAATTATGATTGGCGGCATAGCGCAAATCTCTTGGGTCGAATTTCCTCAAGGCTGCGCATTGAACTTCTTGATAAAATTCCAAAATGTCAGTGGTCTGCTTATTAATTAGATAGTAGGTGATAAATGGAAAATCCGCTGGAATCAAAGAAATCGTCCATCAAAAAAATCGCTCATCAAAAGAATCGTTCATCAAAAAAATCGTTCATTAAAAGAATAGATCATCAAAAGAATAGTTCATCAAAAGAATTGATCATCAAAAGAATAGTTCATCAAATTGTTCATCAAAAAAGTCTCGTTGACCAGTTAAGGAAAAATAATCGTTAATTGAGAATAATCGTCAAATTAATTAAAATGGAGTAAATAATTCAAAAAAGGACAAGATTCGTTACCATTTCTCTCCATGTTAGTGAGTAGGATACTTTGCGAGGCCGAAGGGGCAATTTCGGCGACTAATTCCGCGGCAGTGTCCCGTTGCAGTACCAACGGTTTGGCCACTGGTGACTCGACAATTGGATCCAAGGGCTCCAAAGGTGTCATAAAATGTGCTAGAACACATTGCTTTGGATCCTCTACCTCTAGAATTGAAAGTGGACTTCCCGGCCTCTTCTTGTCGGTGATAGGCGCATGCTACATAACATTTTGTGTAAATATTAATTCTTCATTCAATATTCTCCCGGTATGGTTCATTTAAAATTTAGAGATTCAGAGATATAAGGAAAGTTATATACAGAGAACAGTGTAAAAAGAAAAAGTGTCATTTTGGAACCGATTTTTTGTATTAAATCAATATTTTGTTATATTTTTAATACCTAAAGTCGACTTTAATTCGACACTTTTTTTGTGCAGAAAAACTATTAGAATATTAATTATTAACTAGGAGCAAAAATCGGGATTCCATTTATTATAATTACACAAATTGAAAAATTCTTCATTTTCGAATATTAAATTCAGTTTTTGAATAATTTCAGATTCGAAATTTAAAAAATTCTCTTGTTAACTAATTAATTATTATTATTTATCATTTTATGAATTTTAGTAAAATTCTTCAGACGAATTAAATTATTTTCAAGAATAATAAAATTCTTTTCAGGAGTTCAATTATTTTCAATACAAATTTAATAAAATTTCTCTAAACAATTTTATTATTTTTAAAAATTTCAATAAAATTCTTCACAAGAATTCTATTATTTCCATAAATAATAAATTTATTCAAAAGAATTCAATTATTTAGAATTTTTTTTACAAAATTTCTCGAATGAATTCAATTATTTTCAAAAATTGGATTAAAATTCTGGGAAGAATTCAAGTATTTGATAAAAATTGTAAAAAGTTATTCGCAAATTTTAATTATTTTATGAAATATTGATAAAATTTCTAAGAATTCAATTATTTTGAATATATTTTCAATAAAATTTTAATAAATTTTCGAAAGAATTTAATTAGTTTCAAAAATTTTAATACAATTTTTCAAAGCATTTCAATTATTTTCAAAAATTTTAATAAAATTCTTCACATGAATTTAATTATTTTTTTATAATTAGATAATAAATTCTTTTCGAAAGAATTCAATTATTTAAAAATTTTTTTACAAAATTTCTCGATTAAATTAAATTATTTTCAAGAATTATATTAAAAATGTGGGAAGAATTAAATTATTTAATAACTAATAAAACTCATCGCATGATTTCAATTATTTTTAATATAATTTTATATAAATTTCTGGAAAAATGCAATTATTCTAAAAAAGTTTATTAAAATTCTTCAAAAGAATTCAATTATTTTAAAAATTTTGTCGAAATTCAATTATTTTTAGTATCTATTGTTTATCAATAAAATTTTCCAATAGAATTTAATTATTTAAAAAAAAATTTTCATAAAATTTGCCACAAGAATTTAATTATTTTCAAAAATTTTAATACAATTTTCAAAGAATTCAATTATTTACAAAATTTTTTACAAAATTTCTCGAATGAATTCAATTATTTTCAAAAATTGCATTAAAATTCTGGGAAGAATTCAATTATTTCCAAAAGAAATTTTAATAAAATCTAATAATCGAACGTTTGATTACAATTTTTAACAAAAAGGATTATTTTGAAAACTTGAAAGAAATTCTTCGTAAAATTCAATTACTTTCAAAATTTTCAATTAAAATTATTAAAAAATCTCCATTACTTTAAAAAAATTCTGGGAAATTTTTCAAAACAATTAATTTCTTTTCAAAGATTTTAATAAAATTCTTCGCAAGATTTCAATGATTTTGAAAATATTAATTTTATAATTAAAAAGATTGCGAACGGATTACCGAAATTCAATGATTAATATAGATTATATTTATAATATCTAATTATTATTTTAATTGATTTGGAAATTAATTATTATTTATTATTAATTATTTAAATATTATTAATTAATTTTGGAAATTATCGGTCGAAACTGATTTTTAATTCAAAACCTTTTGAAAAATTAGAAAATAAAATATTAAAATTGTGGTAATAATTAGTTTTTTTCCAAGAGAAGAGAAAAAAAAATTTGCATTTATGGAAAAATGAAAGGCAAGGTAAACTCAATTTAGATTCACTACTGTAAATGAAAATTGATCGGTTTAAAGAAATTGAATTTTAATTATTTAATATGCAGTGGAAAATTGCTCATACCGGCACTCCTGCTGGAAGGAATCTTTCTAGGGCAGCAAGGGGAATGATGAAGCAATCTTTTTCCAATGTTGCTAAAGAAATTGGTTCTCCTCGTGGTGGACTACTGCCCGAAACCACGAGTGGCGTGTATGTTCCCATTGTTCTATTTCCCGTAAATGACACCTGTAAAACAATAACAATTCTCTTTAGAAAATATTCGAAATTTAATTTAATAATTTAATTTCAATTAAGTTTTTTAATTTAATAATTTAATTTTAATTAAGTTTTTAATTTTTTTTTTCGAATTTTCTCCCTTGACTATTCTTTTTGGAAAAAAACTATTTAAATTTTTTAAAAAAACACTTATTTTTGAGAAAAAGATTAAAACATTTTTTTATGTATTTAATTAAAAAAAATTTCTTTGATTGCAAAACAATTTTTTTGTTTCCAAGAATTTTTCTTTTTTAATTTAAAGAATTATTATTCCTCGGCTCTTTATCAATGATGAAATTTCTTTGATTTAAAGAACAATTTTCCTGGATGCAAAAAAAATTTGTTGAAATCAAAGAAAATTTTTAGAAGAAAATTTCTTCTAAAAATTTTCTTTGAATCAAAAACCTTCGTTTTGTTTAAAAGAAAAATTTATTTTGCTAGAGTCTAAAAACTGATTTCATTAAATTATGGAAAACTTTTTTTAATAGAGATAAAACTTAGTTTCAATAAATTTATTTGATAATTAATCAATTATTTGGAATTTAATTTTTTTCACTATTTCGTGAAGAAATATTTTTTTTTAAATCGAAATTTCTTACATTTTTGATTAATTTTCCTTTTTTAAGAGTTTTCTCTTGGTGGGGATTTTTTCCCCCTCTATTTTTAAAATTGGGAAGTAAATTGAATTGAGAATTAATAAATATTAAAATGATTGAATTAGGAGATGAAATTAAATGGAATTGGGAAGTAAATTGAATTGTAAAATAGAGAATAATTAATTTTAGTTGATAATTATTAAATGGATTGTGATATCAGTCGTGAAGTGTCTATTATTTTTTTTTCTTTTGCTTCGCCAACGAATCGCCAATGAGATTTCTAGTGGCATGCAGTTGCAGTAAATATCAACATCGCGTGTGCGTTGTCCGTGCGGTAAATGCAAGTTCATATATTAGAAACTCTCCTGCCATTCGTGTCTTCTATTTTCTGTTCTATTTAGTCTCCGCAAAATCAGTACTTCTGTTTTCAAAGACCTCTCTATATATATAATAGACTGTCGTGTCAATTCATTGTCATACATTTCGCTTAGAATAACGCCAATTAAAGGCAAAATAAAAAAAAATTCTATCATCAACAATTAACTTTTATGAAAAGTTTCATTTTATCCATGACCTTGACATTATCATTGATAAAGTTTAATTTTCAAAGGTTAAGACAAAAATTGGAAAAAAATGGGTTTATTTTATCGATTTTTTTTAATTTACCTAAAGTTTCCATATTTTAAAAAAGTAAATTTTACAGTAAAGATTATTGAAATTTTTGTATATTTAAATATTAAAAATACATTTTTTTCTCTTTGGGAATTTTAATTGTCATGTCCTTTTGCTCTATGGAGGAGAATTATTGATTAGAAAATTATTCATATTATTTTTTATTTTAATAATAAAATAATATTAAATTTTTTTAGTAATTAAATTTTTTTACTAATATTAAAATAGTGGAAAAAGATAAAATTTTGGAAGAAGAAAATATTCTTTTTATTAAAAAGACAATTTTTAATTTCCGGCAGAATAATTGAAATAGAAATCAATATTTAATTTTGTTCACAATATGCCAGAGGAAAATGTTTTGCTTAATTCTCTATACAAAAAAAATCAGAGAAATCGTTTCCTTTTAAAAGTGAATAAAATAGGTAAATAATTATTATCTATGATTTATAATAATATTAAATTCAATTTGCCTTTCAATGGAAAATAATTATGTTTTCATCTTAACGTCTTGGGGAAATTACTTCAATTCATTTCGTAAAGCGTATATTGATTTTCAATTAACTCCTTTAAATTGAAATGTTCGATTCAGTAAACGAATTTGTTTGATTTTCAATTGCGGTACTTTTTTTGTTTTCTTTAGACAAATTTATTTTAATTTCTACTTTTAAAAATAATGATTTTTCCTCAAAATTATTTAAATTAATTTTTAAAGTAACTTAATAATTTCCATTTAAATAATGATTTGAATTTAAACAATTTAAATTTTTTTTTTGATAATTGAAAACAAAACTTGAAGTTCGTGCGCATTGCTTTCTAGTAAAATATGCAATTTTTATTTATTTTTTTCATACTCAGTGGAATACATTCAAGACAGATTTTTTCATTTTAAAATTGACAATTATTTTTTATTGTTCAATACAAGTAACAATCAATTATCTTTCATGGAACAAATGGGACTCATTTCCCCTATTTTATGTTTAAATAGTGAGAAAAACATGTAATTTACATACTTTTATTATTTAATTTAATTTAATAATTATTAAAAATTTGTTAAATTTTTTTATTTATTTAATTTTATTTTTAATTTTATTGTTTTATTAAAAAAAAATGGGTTTAGTTTTGACATTTTTGAACAGTAGTGTAATTTAAAACAACAAAGCAAGTTTGTTACAGGCAACCCTCGATTTCTGTCGAATCTTCAAATTTGAATCTCTATTAAAACTTTTAATACTGACGATTTATAAGCCACGCACCTAATTTCCAAAAGAATTCAATTATTAAAAACATTTTTTTTAAATTCTTTGCAAGCATTCAATTATTAACATAAATAATAAATTTTTCACAGGAATTCAATTATTTAAAAAAAAAATTTTATAACATTTTTCGGAAAAAGTCAATTACTAAAAAAGTTTTTTTTATAAAATTCTCAGCAAAAATTCAATTTTTAAGAATTTTAATAAAATACGTTGCAAAAATTCAATTATTTTTGTAACTAATAAAACTCATCGCAGGATTTCAATTATTTAAAGTAAATTTTGAATAAATTCAATTATTTGCATAAATAGTAAAATTATTCGCAAGAATTCAATTATTCTTTAAAATTTTAATAAAATTCTATAGAAAATTTCAATTATTTACAGTACAATTTTTATTAAATTCCTCAAAAGAATTTACATTTTTTTCAAAATAATTTAAATTCGTATTTGTACAAATATGATTATTTTTTGAAAATTTTTATTCTATTATTTTCATAAATAATGAAGTTTTTCGCAAGAATCTAATTATTCTTAAAAAGTTTTAATAAATTCTTCGTAAAAATTCAATTATTTTCAAAAAAAAATTAATAAAACTCTTTGTGGAAATTTAATTAAATTCCAAACTTTTTCGAAATTAATTCTTTTCAATATCCACTGTATTTAAATAAATTTCCCCAAAAGAAATCAATTGTTTCGAAAAAAATTTCAATAGAATTAATCCTAAAAATTTAATTATTTTCAAAACTTATAAAATTCTTTGAAAAAATTCAACTATTAGTTCCAAAAAAATTTTTGAATTGAAATCTTTGAAAATTTCAATTGTTTAAAACTTATAATATTAAAATTTATATTTTGAAATAAAATGATGAAAGTTTTGAACAATTTTATCTAAAAATTTCAAAAAAGAAAAAAAAAATTGAATTTTGGAAGAATTGCAGTTGTAATTTTTAGAAATAGTTTAATTTCAAAAAGGCTTTACATTGAAGTCGTTTAAAATATTTTATTTTTCGGAAAAATTATTCTATTTTTGAATTAATAGATATTCTTATGTTCCTAAAGTTTTGAACGTTTAAATGAACAAAATTTTTTCCTATTTAAATATTTTTTGAAATTACTGTTACCAAAAAGAAAAATAATCAAAATTAAACATTTATTTAAATAAAAATCCTATTTTTATAATGTACAAAATAACTGATATTTGTTTGATTAAAATAACCGATTAATTATTTATTATCAATTAAATATTTTCTTGAATCAAATAATTTTTGAGTGAATTAAATGGTATTTGAACCAATAATTTTATTATTTGAAGCAAGAACCATTTAAATAAAAATCATTCGGAATCAAGTACAGTCGAACCTGTTGGATTGCAACTCTATTTTTTTACATTTTTTTTTCCTTTTCAAAATGTTCAAAAAAAATTATTTTCGCTTAGTTTCAGAATATTGTAAAAATATTACAAAATTAAATTATAAAACAAATTTTCAAGCAAATTTTATACTGTAATAGAATTTAAAAAATCGAGTTGCATTCCGACAGGTTTCACTGTAAATATTTAATAGATATTAGTCAAGTAATCGGTTATTTGAATCAAATAAATATTTTTTATGCAACTCAGGCGTATTATGGTCACTTTATCTAGCTGTACAGGCGCATACTAAGTTCCCCCTTATAATCCAGCGGGCAAAAAAGTGCCCATTATTGCCCTAGGGCAATAATGATCATTTTTTTGCCCGCTGCTGAAAGGTCAATAAAATTCTCATTATTACCCTAGGGATTTTTTTTCTGCGTTGGCCCCCCAAAGTGTATGGAAAGAATTCGTCAGTGATCGAGAGTTGACTGCATTTAGATTTTTTCCCCCTACTATTATTTTGCTCCTTTATTTCTAAAGACATAATTTTATTGCTGTGAAGCCTTGAATAAATTGAAAGAATGAGATTGATGAATTTGGTCACCTGTCTGGAGGAGGCAGTTGCCGTTGGGCACTCGTTCATGTCCTTCTGATTAACACTCGGTTTCCGTTTATTCGGATTGGCACCGGCGCCACCACCCCATTTGATGACATGTGGACCGGAGTTGCGTCGGGGCCCTGGGCCCAATCTCTCGGTTGGTTCGTCGCCAGCACCACCTGCAGGGGGCGACAGGAAAAGATGAGTGCGATAAGTGTAGCTCGCGTGATCATGGTCCATGGGATATCCAAATTCTCGACTACGACGAATGGGACCCCGACCAGCTCCAACGGCGCCCGTGCGGCCCAATCCACCCCCTCTACCGGACCCAACGCCGTCCCCTCCACCGCCCAATCCTGGCCCACCGCCAGACCCGCCTGTACGCTCGCCAGAGCCCGGACCCCGTTCGCCCGCGAAATTCTTGCGGAACATAAGATTCATGATTGATCCCGATTTTTTCTTTCACTCGCGCGTATTAATTAACGAGTTTTTTTTTTTTTTGATTTTTAATATAGAAATAATTTAGAAACTTGACGTGGGTAAACAACACTTTTTACGACCCATTGGCCGGTCTGCTAGATCAGGCCTGTCCCAGAATAATGTCCAAAGTTCGTTTTTTCTGTTAATGAAACATTCATCCGAGGCGAGACAGTTTGGAGCAAATTTTTCATTTTTTCTTTCTTTTTTGTCTTTATGTTCTTGGACAGCCCTGTGCTAGATGTACACAGAAACATTTATAGCAGACACATTTTGGTTTTTCAGTTTTTTTTTATTTTAGCAGCAGTATTTTGTCAATATCACTGGGAAAAATTCACAGAAGACGTTTTTTGTTAGAGCGCATTAGGCATTTGTTAGAAAATTGTCATTGTTTGTGTTGTGTATTGTTGAAAGAAAATAGAGCATCGAATAATTTTTTGGATTTCTCTCTTTTTTTCTTTTTTTACAGGCCTCGAACTTATGTGACTATTAATACTTTTTTTACTTCGTACAAATATTTGGTTACTATTTTTATAAATAAGCTACTTTAAAAAAGTAGACTAACTTTCTTTAAAAAAACCACTATTTTTTTAACTGAGATTTTAAATATCAATTTAGAGAATTTTACAATTAATTTATTTACTAAATAAATTTATTTAGTAAATAAATTAATTGTCTAATTCTCTAGATTCAATCTCTGATTATAAATAATTATGAATATTCACGAACATCTTGAGAATCAATATGGAGACGCTGTTCTCCACCTGAGAACGCCAAGGTCACCGCCAGATGGCAGTTCAGTTCCTTCTTGGAATTTTTACTGCCCTCTGATGGTGACCTTGACGTTCTCAAGTGGAGAAATTGAAAATGAACTACAATTTTGATTCTATTTTTTAATTTCAAATTCCGTCCAAGGCCTGTTACTAAAAACTGAAATAAAGATGAGTCTCCACTAATTTAAATCAGTAAAAGTTTTTATACTAATATTTATGGTATTTTCGAATGAAATGTAAATAATATTAGAATTACTAAATATGAAATAGTATTAATTATTAATAACAGATCAATAAATAATTAATAAATAATTAATAATTAACTGAATAAACAATTAATTCAAAAACAAAAATTAATTATTAAATAAACTACGAAATAAAGAAAATTATTTTGAAATTTAGTAAAAATGGTTAATAATTAGAATAAGTGGATAAATACAGTTTTTCTGGAAAGCATCAAATTTTGACATCAATGTGAATTAAATTATTACTTTCAAGTTAACCGTGAAAGAAAATTGTTGATTGATTTTTTTTAATTGACACTACAAAAGAAAATGAATAATATTTTTTTTCTATAATAAAATTACTCCCTAAGAAACTTAAATTAGTAAAAATGTTTATTAATTTATATTAGTGCTTAACTTTTTGCTTCTGAATTAGTAAATTTTACTATAATAAATTAGTAGAAATTACTATTATCTATTAGTAACATTTACTAATTCAAAAAGTCAGTCACGAATTTAAAATTTAAATTAGTAAACATTTTTACTAATTCAAATTTACAGAGTATTTTTAATAAATTTAATAGTGTCGATAATAAAAATTAATAAAATAAAGTACGAAATAAAAAATAAACCATAAACATTTTAATTGGAATTAACACTTTAAAAGAGCAAATATACTTTAATTATTTTATCAAATATTTTCTCTGAATATAGTTTTTTCTTTAAGTTCAGCAAATAATTGTCATAAAATCGATTGTTAGTGATCCGTTTTTTTTATAAATAAACATATACATACAGTTTGTATATATATATGAATATATACAACTTAATTGTATTGAATTTGTTTTTATCTTTTTTTTTCTTGGCAAAGCAATCAATAAGCTGTCACTTTCTTTGTGCGTCGACATTTAAATTTTGCTAGTTATTTTATATTTAAAATAATTATAATAAATTTTTCTATAATTATTCTCTCTAAATTTGAATTAGTAAAAATGTTTATTAATTCTACTAATTAATTCAAAGGCAAATTAGTAAAAAAATACTATTTATTATAGTAAAATTTAGTAATTCAAAGGCAAATTTGTAAAAATTACTAATTATTAGTATAATTCACTAATTTAAAGGCAAATTAATAAAAATTAATATTTATAAGTAAAATTTACTAATTCAAAGATAAATTAGTAAAAATTACTATATTAGTAAAATTTACCAATTCAAAGGCAAATTAATAAAAACTATTTTTTAGTAAAATGTACTAATTCAAAATCAAAAAGTCAGTTATTAATTGAAATTAGTAAACATTTTTACTAATTCAAATATTTAGAGAGCACAATTTTTTAAAAAGTTCTTTTATTAATCAGCAAAAAATATTATTTTCTTTACTTATATAAAATCATAAAAGATTTATTCATACAAAAAATATATTATAGTAATATTCATTCTGACAACTTTGATCTAATATATCATCTTGGATATAATTATACGAAATGGAGGAATTTAATTAATTGAATCTGGATTCCTCGCTGGAATTCATTGACATTCCAAATGACATCGTAGATTATAACGATTCTATATTCTATAAACCCAAGAGAAAACTCTTTTTCTTTATAATATTCTTTTCTTCCTTTTTATTTAAATATCAATGAAAATTTTTCTTTTCTAAAATTTATAAAGAAAATAGAAAAAATATACAAACAAGAGTAATAAAAATTGTAATTAAAAAAGTAAATGCTTAAATGAAATGTAAGAAATTAATTAATTTAACTTAAAATTAATTAATTTAAAAAATTTTATTATTCACAATAAATTCTATTATAACAGTAAAATTTTGCAACATTTAGTTATATAAATTAGTGCATTGACGGACAATAACTTTTGACAAATACTTTGCAATTTGTGTGATTTTCCTTTATGAATTTTAATTCGATTCAAATTTATACATTATTTTGAATTTTCCCAAAAAATTTACACAGTCGAACCGGTTGGAATGCAAATCTATTTAAATTTTTTTTTCTATTTAAAAATGTTCAAAAAAAATTTATTTTCGCTTAGTTCTTGAATATTGTATAAAAATATTACAAAATTAAATTATAAAACAAATTTTTTAGGGATTTTTTACTGTAATTAAATTTTAACATTTAAAAATGTCCAACAAGAATTATTTTCGCTTAGTTCCAGAATATTGTAAAAATATTACAAATTTAAATATTAAACAATTTTTTAAGGATTTTTTACTGTAATAAAATTTTAAAAATCGAGTTGCATTCCTACAGGTTTTACTGTAATCGAAAGTTGTTAAAAAAATAGTCGTTTTTAATTTAGTAGTATTTATTATTTAGTAATATTTTTTATATAGTTTTATTTATTATTTACTACTATTTTTTTTTAATATTTTATTTAATATTTTTTATTTAATACTGTTTATGATTCACTACTATTTATTTAATATTTTATTTAATATTTTTGATTCACTACTATTTTTTAATATTTTTTATTTCCTACTGTTTATTATTTACTATTTATTATTCACAACTATTTTTCTCGTTATAATTCAAAGGCGAATAAAATTTTTAAAAAAGAAATTTTTCTAAATTTAAAGAAATAAATCTTTAATTGTTGTTAATAAATTTAATTGAAGATAACTTGAATTTTTTTACTTTTTCGAGAAAGTAAAATTTTTGGGAAAATTTTTATTTTCGTATAATGCAAAGAAAATCGATTTATTTTTCCAAAAAAATTATTAGTTGTGTGGTGTCATAATTTTTTAAGAGTGAAACATATTATTCGGTGCTCTATTTAATTTCAATAAATGAGAATTTAAAAAAAGAAAAAAAAGAAAAAACAGAAAGAAAAAAAAGAAAGAAAATGGGTAAAGAAAGTAGAAAATATTATACAGTGAAAGTGTTAAAATGTATAGAAGTAAAGACGAGTAGTAAAGGTCGAGTACTGAGTGAACAGTAGTAAGTGACGTTGCTATCAGACGCACGCAGGGATAATAGTCAGTATCAGTCAGCCGCTCTCTCCAGATCGAAATTAAAGGAAAAAACCTTTTTTCTCATTTCTAATTTCACCGATAGATTTAAAATTAAAATTGAAAATTTCACTAAAAATATTTAAAATTAAAATTTTCATTCACGAAAAAAATGCATTTTCTATTTTCTATTATATTTAAAGGTCTCGCACAAAATATAACAATGGGGATATATAGTTTATAAATGTGATAGCGTGAAACGTACGAACGCGAGAAACGTGTGTAGTTTTTGTTGTATACATGTGTTGTATACACGAAATATATATATATACACACGAAAGCTTCCTAGAGCTTTTGCCGGGCACTACTGGCAAGAGCATGCTTTGCGTGCACTACGCTAGCCTCGTTCGCGTCCTCGACTCTAGATATAGTTTTTCTTCTACGCGCGAAATTCGTCGCAGTTGAACGATGCGCATGAATCGTATCAACATTATGACTTATACGATTGCGACCAGTGTCACGGACAAATGCCTTGCATTGAATTTAAAAAAAAAAAGAAAAAAGAAAGTTGATTGTAATTCAAGTGTAAGCACTAATTTTCCCTTTTTATTTCATTTCGCTTCGCTGGGGATGAAAGAAATTTTTTATTCAAAATCAGGAAAACAAAATTTGTTACTTGATTCATTGTTATCAAGTAACAAATTTTATTTTCCTGATTTTGAATAAAGAAAATTTCTATATTATATTAATAATATATGTATAATAATATTTTTCATCAAATTTTATTTTTTCCATAATTGGTATTTCGGAAAAAATAATATTTGACGAAAAATATTATTATTATTAAATTATTATTAAATAATTAATAAATTATAATAAATTAATAATTATTATTATTAAATTTAGCTACTATTTTTATAAATAAAGTTACTAATGACACTGTTTTTGATAAAAAAAAGCCACTATTTCACTAATGGTCTATTTCCAAAGACGAGATTCTAAATATCATTTTGTTTAGTGTAGAATATAATTCTAAGACCAAAAAAATTGAAGACGATAAAAATATCAAAAAAGAAAGTAAATTAAAAATTAAAATTCGAAAGTTATATTATAATTATTTAGTTCGCTTCTCTAAATTTGAATTTCGCGCCTTTATAACTCTGGAAGTTCACGTCCAGATGGCGAGAAATCTCGCTCGTAAACGAGATGAAAAAGCATATAATACAGTTACCGGTCGAGACTATTACGTTTAGTTTTAATTATTTGAGGTAAATTATTACTGCTATTAATATTTTTATTATTTATTATTCTTATTACTTGTTATTAATTATAATTGTAATAATAATTATTATTAGTATAATAAATTCAGTCGCTCACTCCGAGTTAGAGTAATAGTTCTGAGTCATAAATTTAATTAATACTTTAATGATTATTATTATTACCAATTATAATAGTAATATAATTATTGCAATTAATTATAATTATTATTATGCTTTTTCAAAAGCACTTTTAAAAATATGTAAATAAAAATTCGTAGAATTGGCAGAAGCGGTTAATCTCGAAAAAAATCTTTTTTATTATTATTAATTACTATTATTGTATTTATATTAATTATTAATAATTATAATAATTCTTTTTAATAACTTTAAAGTTGGTAAACTTTCTTCTTTTTAAATGTTTTGAAATTTTTAAATTAACATTTTAAAGATTAAATAAATACAAAAATTAATTAAAATTAGAATTCTTGACAAGAATTTCATTAAAATTTTGAAAAATAATTGAATTTTTTCAATTTTTTTCAAATAATTGAATTCTTTCAAGCAATTATATTAAAATATCGAAAAATAATTGAATTCTTTCAAGGAATTTTATCAAATTTTTTTTTTAAATAATTGAATTCATTGCAAAGAATTTTATTCTTTATGACAATATTTCAATTTTGGCGAAGAATTGTATAAAAATTTTTGAAAATACTTCAATTCTTTCGAGGAATTTAGCTAAAATTCTATTCAAAATAATTCAATTTTGTCAAATTTTTTTAAAAATAAAATCAAATGTTATTAAAATTATATTAAAAAGAATTAAATTCTTGCGAGGAATTTTATATTTTATGAAAATAATTGAATTCTCGCGGAGAATTTTATTAGAATTTTTGAAAATAATTATATACTATCTAAATATTGAATTAAAATAATTGTATTGAACATAATTGAATTCTATTAAAGGTTTTTATCAAAAATTATCTGAAAATAATTGAATTTCTGAAAAGAATTTTTTTTATGAAAGTAATTGAATTTTCGCGAAGAATTTTATTAAAATTTTTTAATATTTGAATTTAAATTCTTTCTAGGAATTTTGAGAAAATTATATTGAAAATAATTGAATTTTTTCACAAAGTATTTTTAAATTTTCTGAAAATAATTGAATTTCTGCGAAGAATTTTATTATATTTGTAAACAATATTTGAATTCTTGTGAGGAATTTTCAAAAAATTTTGAATATTTTAATTAAATTCTTTCTAGGAATTTTGAGAATCTTGTATTAAAAATAATTGAATTTTTTCACAAAGTATTTTTAAATTTTCTAAAAATAATTGAATTTCTGCGAAGAATTTTATTAAATTCGTAAAAAATATTTGAATTCTTGTGAGAAATTTTTTTTTTAAATTTTGAATATTTTAATTAAATTCTTTCTATGAATTTTGAGAATCTTGTATTAAAAATAATTGAATTTTTTCACAGAGTATTTTAAAATTTTTTGAAATAATTGAATTTTTGTGTAAAAGTTTGTCAGTAAAATTTTTTAAAAATAATTGAATTTTTGCGAAGAATTTTTTTATTTTTAAAAAAATATTTCAATTCTTTCGAGAAATCTTATTAAAATTTTAATTAAAAAAAAATTGAATTCCTGCGAAGTATTTATAAAAATATTATTGGATTCTTAAAAAAAAATTATCAAAATTTTGTTTGAAAAATTGATTTATTCAAAGAGTAAAATTCAAAATTCAAAGAGTATTAAAATTTTTAAAAATAATTGAATTACTAAATAAGTAATTTTTTTAAAATTTTGAGCCAGAAATTATATTCAAAAACAGGAGTTGATATTTAAAAATAAGTTATAATAATAATAATTTTATTAATATAAAAATAATTAGTAGAATTTTATTGGATGACATTTTTTATAATTCGTTATTTATAGTTTAATATTTTGGACAGTAATTGAAAATTGAGGTCAGTTTCTTAATATTCAATCTTGGGGGTGAATAGATAGGAGTTTATCCAGTATTTATCAAATTGTCAGGCTCTGAAGGAATTTCCCACCGGATTCATTTTATTTTATGAACAATGAATATGACTAAAGTGACCGTATATATTTTGATTAATAGTTAATATACAAAATAAAATTGTCATTATAAATCTTTAAATCAGGTCAGTTTTGAGGGGACGCAATTTCATATTCTAATCGATCTACATTAATATTTTGAAATTGATCTGGAGATAACGACTTCTGTTCACGATATTATATTGCCGTGTGTTTTGAATTGGTCCCGTCCTCGTGTACTTTATCTGTACAAAATCGTTTAGTCCCATTTAATGTACGGAAGAAAAACGAATTTTCACAAAAATTTCTCCCAATTTTTTAAAAGTCGCATAATTATGATTAAAGTTCTCTCTAAATTTAAATTTGTAAAATTTTTTACTAATTTGACTTAGTGACTGACTTTTTGCTTTTAAATTATTAAATTTAAGTACTAAATTAGTAAAATTATTATTTATTTGCAAATTTTTTATTTATTAGTAAATTTTACTAATAAATTATTAGAAAAGACTATTTATTATTAAATTTTTTTTCTATTTTACTAATAAATTATTAAAAATTACTATTTAATAGTCAAATTTACTAATTCAAAAGCAAAAAGTCAGTCACTAATTCAAATTAGTAAATATTTTTACTAATTCAAAATTAGAGAGTTGTTCCAATTTTTATACACGAAACTTTTAATGGAAAAATTGTCATGACTTAATTTGACATGCCCTTAAAGATAGATTGAAATTTTGATAAAAATAATTAGTATAATATAATAAATTTAATATTTTAATATATTTTATATTTATAAATATATTTATATCTACTAAAAAAAATATATTTATAAAAAAATAATTATAAAAAATACGGGTTTGAAAAATAAACCGAAAACTTTAGTTTGTAATAAAAACACGTTTTAATGAATTAAAATGTTTTTTTTTTGTTTTGAGAAGTCGATTGTATACTGCGATTTGTTGAGAGATAAAGTCGGAATAGTTAACGAATAAGGGAAATTATGCACCGTCTTTTGTAAGTTCTAATCTTTTATAAAAATGAAAACTTTTTCTTTTCTGGCATTCATTATTCGCGTGTTATATTATTTATTAATCAACATTAAAGCTGACCTTAAAGTTTCTATATAGAAGCACTTTTTAGCTTGGAAACATAATTTACCGGAAATTACCAAGTTCTCTTTTCATAAATTTCAAACCATATTCAGTCTGAGCCGAATTTTTTTATTTAATTATTTAAAGAAAAATATTTTTAAATCAAAAAAATTTTTTTTAAATCAAAAAAATATTTTTAAATCAGAATTTTAACACAAAAAAATATTTTTAAAACAAAATATTTTTAAAACAAAAAAATATTTTTAAATCCAAAAAATATTTTTAAATAGAAAAAAATATAGAAAAATTGATTATAGTCATTTAAATATAGTCGATGAAAATGAAAGGAGATTAAAATTAGAAAAAGTAAATTAAATTGTGGGGAAAAAATTAATTATAGGGAATTTAGAAACATTTTAGAAAATTTCTTAATTAAACAAGAAACCAAGAAACTTAATTAATGAAAAACTTGATTACTAAAAAAAATTAATTGAGAAAAAACGTAATTGATAAAAACTTAATTAATGAAAAGCTTAGTTAATGAACTTAATGAAAAAAATTAATTAATATAAATTTAGAATCAATTTAACTATTTTGTGTTGTTAATTAAATGTAGAATTTTTTTAGGGGAAATTTTTGAGCCAAATAAAAGACATTTATTCAATTTAAAAACATTTATTTCGCAATTTATAGAAATTTAATTCAAAAATTCAGTAAAAGGTTTTTAATAAAAAATAAAATTTATAAAGAAATCTTCTATAAAACTAGAGGAAAAAGGATTGAATGAAAAGTTGATGACAAAAGTGCCTTTATTTTCTGTATATCACCTCATGTATATAAACTATAAAATTAATATGAATATACCCAGGGAAATCGATTTACATTTGTTTACTTAGAACTAGTGTGTAACACGTGTTCGACCTTTATTGTATTTTCCTTTGCAAAAATATATTTATATGGACTCTACTATATATTTCTTTTTTTTTTACAACTCGTGACCGGAAATACGTTGAAAAAAGAAAATTGATTCGCGTTGTTTTCCTGCGCGTATATAAAAGTTTCAATTTACTTTTTAAATTTACATGTAATGCTACAAATAGTTGGAAAATTATTCACGAAACTTTCATATTAAAATTGCATATGAGAAAAGTACTTTATTTTTTAAAAGAATGCGGAGAAATATTTCTTAAACTTTATAAAGAAAAATTTGTCCTTACAATTTTACTTTGTATTTATAAATATATATAGTTTTTAC